AAAAATAGTTTTGTTTCCTGCAGGTGGTCTGGTTAAATACAAAGAATGAAAAATGAAACAAACTCTGAAATTTTTACATTAGAAAGACAGAGGTGTTTCTTTTTTCAGGGGAAGGGAGAAACCTTTCATTGCTCGGTCTTACTTCCTCAGCACCTACAAACAATATCAGGTTTCTGATTTTAAAAATCACCATTTCTGAGATAGGAGTTTTCACCCCTGCTAAAATCTACAATAAACAGTAGATGCTGAAGACACCTGTTCACATCTATTCTCCAAAATTAGGAAATAGTTCTGAGCAAACAAAAGCAATTCCTTGGCCAAGTCCTAAGCAGAGCAATGGAATAACAAGGTATTTTATACCCCTAAATATTACAATTACAAATCTGGGTCTTTGTATTTGAAATGAACATATGTGTCAATGATTTTTTTCCTATAGTGAGCCAGTAACATATGCTTTGGTTTTGATACCAAAATACAGTCCCAAAGGATCATGTCTGGCAGGAAGATCCTTGCCTTTATAGTGAGAAGGCCTCGGGTTCCAGCACTGACTCTTCCAGGCATTAGCAATGATGTGTTACCCAGAAGAGTTATACCATGAAGGAACCTGGACAACATCATCTGCCTTGCTGGGCTCAGAATTCTTGGAAAATCATTAAGATTGTGGTGAGGAGTCAAGGCCATCCAGAGGAAGTCACATGCTGGCTTTTTCTACCAGCCTTCTTTTGGCTATAATATCACAAAACAAACTTTCTGATTTCCTAGTCATCACTAAAGTCCCAGTCAAATGTATGCTCACTGCAAATAGCCTCAAATTCATGAGCAGAAGAGGGACCTTGTTCTCTGGGCTTCTATTCTACTCTCTTCCTATTTGACTTGCCACCTGCCTACTCTAACTGGACTGTAATGATCATGAATGTTTATAAAATAACCAGGATATATATATATATATATCTTGTTTCTACACCAAGGGCTCTGCCAGGGCAGAGAGTGGAAAAAAAATCACTACTGTTATCTTGAGCACCTGTCCCTGGGCTTGGCATTAATAGAAGCTCAAGAAAGTCCTGTGCTGATGATGGTACGAGTAAACTAGCACTTTCATACACTGTTAGTAAGAGCACAAATGGTGCAACTCTAAAGCTAATCTGGCAATATCTGGCAATACAGCTGTCAGAAGTATCAGCCATGTTGGGCATGGTGGCACATGCTTATAATCCCAGAGGCTCGGGAGGCTAAGTCAGGAAGATTGTGAGTTCAAAGCCAGCCTCAGCAACTTAGCAAGACCCTGTTTCAAGATTAAAAAATAAAATATAGGGCTGGGGATGTTGCTCAGTGGTTAAGCACCCCTGGGTTTTATCCCAAAACTAAAAAAAAAAAAAGAAAGAAAGAAAAATAAGAAGAAGCATTAGCCATGCCAGGAGGGGACTGAGGCAGGGAGGCATGCAGGAAAATTCTAGTCTGGGAGACAAGACTGAGCTTCCCACCCCTCTGATCAGCTGTGGGATCTTGGCAATTCCCTCTACATTTCCCAAGTGCAGGTTTTTTGTCCACACAATGATGGAGTCAGATGATAATCTTGCATTCTATCCTTAGCAAGTTCTCAAAACAGAATGAGGAAAACAATATGGAAAGATGTTGATCTTTACCAAGATAGCCTCAGCTGGCAACAAGGTCCTCTACTCTCATTGCTTGAGCTTTGGGAGATGTATGGCACTCCTCTGAGCAAGTATGCACCTGGGAGGCTCACCCTAACTCCAGTGGGTGGCAGGTCCTTGGCCTAAGATCACCTTTTCCTGCTCCCCATGATCTGTAGTCCACAGACTACAGTTCCATGAGATCTTAGTAGGTGGTCACACAAACATGCATAACATAAACTGGATCCTTGCTCAGAAAGAAATGATAAATACATGTCTACAACACAAATCTTCTGAAGCTTTGTTCTTTCAACACAGCTATGAAATCTCCAGAAGGGTCTGTGGTGTGCTCAATTCCCTTAATTTATTTTTCCTTAAAGCAGCATATCCTAGGCCTACTGTTCAACAGCCTATTCTTTTTTTTTTCTGGTACTTGGGATTGAACCCAGGGCACTTGACCACTGAGCCACATCCCCTGCCCTAGTTTGTATTTTATTTAGAGACAGGGTCTCACTGAGTTGCTTAGTGCCTTGCTTTTGCTGAGGCTGGCTTTGAACTCGTGATCCTCCCATCTCAGCCCCTGGGATTACAGGTGTGTGCCACTATACCCGGCTCAATAGCCTATCCTTTGAGAATACTAAAAACCTTTGATCTGTTTCCTCATTTCTAGAAACCAAATTCAATATGCCTATCCTCTCTTGCTTAGCTGCCCTTGCAATAGAAGTAGACCTAAAGATTCTAAAAGCCCTTGAAAATTGATACAAAGTACCCTAGAGCTTTAAAACCTATTGAAATATAAGTTGGAAATGAACCAAGGAAGCATCTACAGTGAAGTGCTCAATGCCTACCTTCCTGGCAGCAAGGATCCTGACCCTGCTACATGGATGTAACAGCCCTCAAATCCTTCCATTTTAGATGGTACCCACCTCTCCACTTTATGCCCATCCCCAGACTACAGCTGCCCAAAGTAAGTAAGGGGCCATTCAGTAAACAAGCTTGGTTTTGAAGATTTCAGAAAATGAAGGGGGGGGGGTAGCTCTTTCCTCTCCCACACCTTGTTCCTCACCCATCCTTTAGGGTCCCCTACCAGGTAAGGGGATCAACTCACCCCCCATACTCTCCCCTTACACCTCCGTCCCTACCCTCTTTCCCTCCCACAGCATGGACCTGTGGAAGAATAAAATCCCTCTGTGAATTCCCTACCAGCTCCAACAATGTCCCATACTCATTTTAGGCTGGAAAAGTTCATGAACTGAATTTAAAATTTTAGACAGAAGACTGTTGAACAAAGCTCTGAAACCTCTGAGACTCTGTACTCTTATGGGCACATCAGCTCAAATAACTTTTAGTGCCCTGTTTCCCCATGCGTGCAGGAATAGAGATTATTGATGACTTTTAAAATAACATATTCAAGAATTACCTGTGATGTTAAAAATAAATATAATAAGATGGGCAATGTTTAAATCTTTTATGCTACAGTATAACCCTTAATAAATATGAAATCACATGGAAAAAGTTACTATAAGGTTAAGGTAACAATAGTGCCCAAAGAATGCAAAAAGATGTTTCTAAGTAAAAGCCATCATAGAAGGGTCACATAACCCTTCCCTTCCTCCCTTCTTCCTTCTCACCCTCTCTCCTTTCCCACCCCCTTCTTTCTTTTTCAAGGCAGAATTTTATCATTATAGACAATATATCCAGGGAATAAAAAAGATTCTGTAGTGATTGATGAAGAAACATAGTTTGCCCACAGCTCTGAGGTTTTATGCAAACAGTGGTCTCTTTGTACCTACTTGTTTCATTCTCCAGTTGTGGTTTCTATGTGTAGAAGGTAGAGGTGGGACAGATACGGGCTGGAGCTATCTCATTTCTAACACTCCAAGACCTTGTATCTTACAGAGAACTAACAATATGGAAAGATTTAAGGGCCACGGCCACATGATGTGTTCTACAAGATGGAGTATGAGGTGGCAAGGCAGGCTTGGTGGGTGAGGGTAGGAAGCTTCTATGTAATTTGTTAAAATAAAGGAAAACTCAAGTCTCCTTTTGTGATTTAAGAGGAAGTCAATCAAGACCAGATTGTAGTTTAACTTGGCCATAGCTTGGCTATGTTTTAAACAGCAATGATTATTATTGGTTTTAAAAATAAAACCAATATTTTCAAAGAAATGTTGACTTAAAAAAAAGTTCTGCTGTTGCTTCTGATAAAATCATGCTCCAAATAAATTTTTAAAACTTTAGCAAAAAAATTATGAGCTAAAACAACAGAAGGAAGTATAGCTCCCAGATCTGGAGGGATGTACTGAGGTTTATTTACCACCTATGATTGGTTCTCTGGTACAATACTGTTTAATAGAATCATTTATCATTCTATATCCTTATTTGATTTAGCTTGTTGTACACTAACCAAAATCTGTCAGCTCTAATGGCTAAAGAAAATACATAAATTTAACATAAAAATTATTACCTACTCTTGTACAATATGAATTTCAATAAAAACAGCTTGAACCAGGATTATTTCTTTCAGAACAAAGCACCCCTCCCTTTCCAACACCCCACCCTAAAATAGAAAAACACACACATCACAACCATACATGCATTATTTTCTAAAAAGAGGCAACTTGGGCTGTGTCAAGGCTAACAAACAGAAATAGATTTTACTCCTGGCCAACAGCTCAAACCATCCATCAGGGTAAATTGAAGATGTTTTTGGAATTAAGTGTACAAGCAGACACACCCTGTTTACCCAAAACCGTAAAACATGACAATTTCCACACTAACAGTTTCCATCCCAGAGTAGTGCTGGAAAATTATCAGGGACAATTTACTTTCCACTGTCTTTTATTCCTGAATGCAAATGGTAGATCCTTGAGTTTACAAGGGGGTGGGGGTAGGAGTGAATAATAAACTTTAATTCTTGTGGATTCTAAAACCAGAAATAATTTTGAAAGAATGACAATAGATTTTATTTCTTTACTTTTGTTCCTGTGGTGTTGGGGATCGAACAGAGGGCCTTGGGTATGTTAAGCAAGCTCTCCATCACTGAGCTACATCTGTGTCTTGAAAATGGATTTTAAATGTCCTTAAAACCCAGAGGGAAATGGAGCCTCAGTTTAATTTTTTGGCATTTAACCAAGAAAGCCAAACCAGCAATACAGCAGGAGTACAATCAGAAAGAAGGACACGCCCTTCCACCAAGCCACAGGCAGAACATAAACATAAACTTGGACTGAGCCCAAAATTAATACCACCAGCAATCACAGGAGCACACTCATGTCGGAAAGAATACAGCTGCCTTCATTAATGTCATATGCAGAATACAAATGCATGCACGGGCTCTCACAGAACATATACATGGCTCTCTCTTACCTCCAACATGGGCCGGGCACTATCATGGACAGATAGAATATGTGTCACCTTGTTCTTGCTCAATTGCTCTGCGTCTCTTGCATCTGTCATCCAAGAAAGGGGATGGACAATTTAATATTCTCTGCAAATTAATTACAACACAACATGACTTGCACATTTCTTTCTTGAAATTTCATAATTGACCCTATCTAGAACAATCAAATGGAAGGAATTTAGGGCTACTACTTTATGCATTTTGCCTAAATTTATTTCTGACTGGCATATCTTTTGATCCAAAGTATTGCTCTAAAACTTAAAATGTATTTAAATTAATAAACATTATGATCATGATGGCTGTTGTTCAAGAAAAGTCATTTTATGAGGTCATTTTATAGTCAGCATGTATAAGCCACTCATCCTCAGGTCAGTCTTTTTACATGAGACATGTAACAATAAAGATGTTTAAAATATTTAAAAGCCCAATTACCTCTTAATGATTAGTGATCTAACTTGAAACTAAATACTAAAGATCACTTACAAGACAGAGGAATAGGTATTTCTTGACCTTGACATCAAAAGCAGGGAAAAGTCTAGACTGAGGTAAGACTGTGGTTTAGTTATATATCTATATTCACTTCCAATCAAAGGAAAAAATGGAAGATATTTTAGAAATTCCAAACAAAATTGTCCATCAGTTGTCAATAGACTATTAAGTTATCTGCATATGAATCTAAAGAGACACCAAAATTATATTCCCTTCTCATACTCTTACCTGTAGAAAAGACCCAATGACATGATCCTCCAAATTAAAACCCTCTGCTAGTTTACAAAAATGGGGAGCCAGCAAAAAAAAGGAGGAAAGAAGTCAGCTTTCTTGAGCCTTTGGCCTGGCCAAGTTCTTCAAAAGACACAGGTTCAAAGGGATTTAACGGCAAGTGCTTTATTATTACATTTCTGGAGAACATTTCATGGTATGGGGAAATGCTCAGGATATAATGTTAAGCCAGGAAAAAAATCAATAATCAAACTATAAATATAGTATACCAAATCTGTAATGCCCAATTTGTAAAAACATGTAAGGATACACACACACATGGTGCTGAACTGATATACAGGTTTATTAAGAGACAGAATTTACCGTGTTTTTTTTTCCCTTGTGTAAGTTGTGTGTATTCTGCACAAGCGGTTCTAAGAGTTCAACATGCCCCAAACTATTTGGTAGACTTGTTAGAAAGGCAGATTCCTGGGATCCGATTAAGTTCTAGGTCTACAGTGGAACTAAGAAATTTACACTTCTAACGGGCTTTGAAGATGAAGCAGAAATTTAAGAGATGCTCTTCCAAATACTCAGCAAGGTCAGGAAAAAGCCTTTAAAAGTAATAGTACAATATTGGTCTATATTTACTTTCTTCATTGTTTAACTATCTTGAGCTTCAAATTTCAATATGCACAGTAGCTGTTTCCATCACACACATGGGGACACAATTCTAGCCCCCAGCCACTACCACAAGTTGGGATATTAGCCAGATTAATTTTAAATTAGACGGTACTATACAGTTTGTATTTGGAAGGTTCCCCCAATGGCCCTTGTGTTAAAGGATTGACCCTCGGCTTGGTGCTACTGGAAGGTGATGGAAACTTTGGGAGGTGGAGCCTGGTACTGAGATGTTTTAGGTTGCTGGGGTTGTGACATTGAAAAGGACTGGTGAGACACTAGCCTCTTCCTCTCTTTATTTTTCTTCCCAGCTGCCATAACATCAGCAGCTTCCTGTACCCTGCATTCCTACTACAATGTGTTACTTTACCATGGGCCCCCAAAGCAATGGGTCAACAACCACAAACTGAAACTTCCAAAATGGTGAGCCAAAACAACATGGTAAGTTGACTGCCTATTATATTTATTATAGTAACAGAAAGCTGACTAACACAGGCAGGAACAGGAATCCTTTAGGAACCCACAGGCAGCTGGTTCCCACATTCATACTAAAATGCATTTCGCCAATCATTGCCAATATGAGTATTTTTAGACAAGTAGTGAAACAAGATAAATTGGAGCTTCTGAAGCCCACAGACAATGTAGCCAAATGGGAACAGCCTGATGAAGCAGGCTCATATGATGGTCTTCTCCAGGGTTCTCCCAGATTCCAATTCTTCCAGCATTTGAATCTTAACAACCAATATTTATTTAAATGTATGATGGGCCTGCCATATCCAAGGGTTTCACATTCTGCAATATCAGATAAAAAATTTGAAAAAAACCCTGCATCTATATTGAACACATATAGACTTTATTAGTCATTATTCCCTAAACAACACAGTATAACAACTATTTGCATAGCATTTATATTGTATTAGGTATCATAGGTAATCTAGAAGTGATTTTAAAATATACAAAAGGATATATGTAGGTTATATGCAAATGCTATGGAATTTTATATAAGGAATGTGAGCATCCACAAATTTTGGTATCCATGGGGTATCCTGGAACCAATCCCCAGAAGGTATGGAGTGAAGACTACGCTTTTTTTTTCTTTTTATAATAGCTTTATGGAGATATAATTCACATGCCATAAAAATTCACCTTTTTAAAAGTGTACAGTGTGATGATTTTTAGTACATTCACAGAGTTGTGAAACCAGCACTACACAACTAATCCCATAATCATAATCTAAATATAATTTTATAATATAGATTAAGATTTTTAAAAGGTGGTTTAGGGATAATGTTATACAGATGTGAATACAGAACCCAATCAATACCACATACAAACCATGGACTACAGAAAAGGGAAGTGACCTGACCCAGGCCGATGCAGCTCTCCTGCTGCCTGCTTTATTTCACGCAGTGCTGTCTGTGCAGGTGCACTACTTTGAGATTACCTTTTCCCGTAGGCTCCATCCATGAACTTGGGGTTCACTCAAAACTGCTAGAGGATGACAATGGGCTTATCATTCCTTTTTTCACATTTAGTTTTTGATACATACAAACATACAAATTGTACATATGAATGGGGTGTCATTTGATCTTTTGATGCATGTATATGTTGTAAAATATTTAAATCAGATTAAACATATTAACTCAAACATTTATTTTATTTTATGATGAATACTTTCAAAATCATTTTTTCTAGCTTTTTGAAAGATACAATACATTATCATTACCAACTGTCACCCTGCTATATGACAGCACAACAGAACTTCTTGCTCCTATCTAACTGTAACTTAGCGCCAACTGACCAACATTTCTCCATGCCTTCTCCCAAGATCTTGTCTTCTTACTGACATCAAATCATTGGTTTCTCTGGGTGGCAACCTAGGGCCATAGGATTGGTCATGAACACAGCTGTTAGGCTCAAAGTGGGGCCACCAGTGTGCACCAACCTGCATATGCACAAGCATGTAAGTTTCCAGCAGCCCTCCAATTAACAGCATGGTATCAGAAATGTGGATTCCCAAGCCCATCTCAGACCTACTCTGTAATTAAAATTTGTACTTTAATAAGAACCCCAGTTCCTGTGTGCCTTGTAACCAAGTCCTGGAGGGCATGGAGTGAGTGACCTTTGACCTCTTGCCAATGGAGCCCAACATGGAGTGTTGGTATGTACTATTTCTAAAAACTACTCAGAGTCACTTGGAATAAAAAAAGCAACAAGTTCATAACCAACAGGAAAGTTAGAGGTTAGAATTCACATGTTAAAAAAAAATCTAGAGGGACATTAGCCACAGGTGTCTCAGGATATGGAGTTATTGAGAAGTCTCATCTTCTTTAGTATTGTTCAATCATGTTTGGATTTGTTGATCTGTTTTACTAATTGGCACACATTATTTTTATAATTAGGAAAAATAAAACTTTAAAAATACTGTTCCCAAGTATAAATGTGTTAATGAGTAACATGAACAGCCAATTACTCAGTGGTAATTTCTAACCAAATTCTTTTCTCCTGTCTGCCAAGACCTCTCTGGGCCCTTGGACTCTTGCATACCCCTGCCTTTGTTTACCCTGGAGGCTTCCATGACTTCTGAAGAAACGAATACCTTCTTTACATAAAGTGAGCACTGAAATAGTAATGTCCACCAATTTTGTCCCCTCTGGATTGTCTATTCCCCACCTGGCACGGAAGGCCCCATGGATACTGGTAAGACCTTACTGGGGTATCAGGGAGCTTATCTGAAGACTCTGTACTCCAAAGGGCAAAGTGACTCCACATGTTTCCCTAGGAAGGGGAATTACAGCTCTTGTTCTTAGGCTGATAACGAAAGTGAGCAAGGGCAGTCCGTCCTAAGGTATGGGGAATACCAGAGTGGCCACGGGAAATGAGCTAGTCTGGCAAAAGACAAGCAGAACCATCTTTGAATAAAATTTAACAAAACTGTATTGGGGCATGCATTAGAAATCACCCCTCTCAACACACCCTCTAGAAAACATGGATGTTTGGGTAGGAAAAACTTCTGGAGCACTTGCCACTCTACTTCGGGGATTCCAGAGTCAGGGGAGGAGGGTGAAGGGACGTCTCTTCTTTAAGTAGAGCCTGCACCCTCTGCTCTGCTCCGAGCCCAGGCCACATGCTGAATCATTTCCCAAACAACCTTCCAATCTTTTTTTATGTTCTACTTCCTAATGAGAAATTAATTTAAAGGCATCTAGAGTTATGAATTATAACTTCTAGAGTTATGAAATTGGTGTAGGTGGGGTCAACGTTAAGCCAGACACTTTCCAATCTGGAGTGGGAACTGAGACGGGGCAGTCAACCTGCTCTCTTCTTGACCACACCCTGGCTCTGATGCTTTCTGGTGCTGACCTTGGGCACACTTTTCTATGCCTCATTTTCCTCATCTGTAAAGGAGGGACAATGGTAAGAGTACCCACCTTAAAGGACTGCTGTAAGGACTAAATGATAGAAAAAGGCTTGGAACAGTGCCTGATATGTGGTAAACATATGGTCATTTTCATCATCTGCAAAGGGTTGGATGTGGTTTGTGCCTCAAGGATTTATGCACTAGAAGCTTTATCCCCATTGTGGTGTTGCTAAAGTGCTGGTACTTTTAAGAGATGAGCTTAGTAGAAGGTAATCAGATCTGCTCTCAGAGGGGATTAATTCTGGGTTTGAGGAGTGAGTTAGTTCTCCTAAGAGCAAGCTGTTATAAAGTGGGGCCTCCCCACATGCTTGGACCCTCTGTGCATACCCAGTTTCCTTTCTGATTTCTCTGCCATATTGTGAGAATGCTGGTGTCATGCAATCGATCCTCCAGAACTGTGAACTGAATAAATTTGTTTTCTTTATAAAGTATCCAAGCCAGAGCAGTGTTGCATGCCTGTAAGCTCAGTGACTTGGGAGGCTGAGGAAGGATGACTGCACAATTTTGAGGCCAGCCTTAGCAACTTAGCAAGGCCCTAAGCAACTTGGTTATACACTGTCTGTAAAATAAAATAAAATAAAATAAAATAAAATGCTCAGTGGCTAAATGCCCCTGGGTTTAGTTCCTGGTATGTAAGTAAGTAAGTAAATAAGTAAATAAATAAATTACACAGTCTAATACACTACCACTATTATTATTCCATGGGTCTCAATCTGTGTCACCTCTGAATGTTTTCAAATCCACACTGGCTGCAAAGACATTCAAATCCAGGTTAAGCTGACAGAAGACCAGCTCAGACTCAAATGCAGTTATTGGCTCACTCAACTTCGTCTGAACCACTGGGACCCACTACCTGATACAGTCTGTATCACCAGCAGACACAGAACTGAAGCTCTGTGACCTTGAACATGAACTCCATGCATATCACCCCACATACACAGTGAATAGCTTGTTCCCACCCTTCTAGATTTTTGTGGACATCTTCGAACAATGAGGGCTTTCTTTGTCAGCTGACATCTACATTTGCCTGTGCCAAGTTGTGAGGAAGCAGTGAACCCCACCCACTAGCCCAGGCAGGAGTGGTTCTTTCTCGCTGCCACTCCCTGCCTCTCCTCCTGACACCTGTGCAGAACTGGCTGCTGGGTACAGGTCACTGCAACGGAGGGCTCCCAGCAAAGCCTCCAAGACCTGGCTCTGAGGGCTGGGTTTGTGGTGGAAAATCACCAGGTGTTGGAAAACTGTGATTCAATGCAAAATTGGAGAAAGAGAAGGAAAAAAAAAAGGGAGTTGAAGATAATATGTAGGAGATCCCACTGGAAGGACAGAGAGTATTAAGGAAGGAAGGGGGTATGGACAAAAGGAAGGAAGAAAGGGGAAGATGGAGTGGAGGAGTGGGAGGGAAGGAGATGGGGCAGGAAAGAGGAGTGACTAGTTTTCTTCATGCATTTCTATACTTCTTGCTGTATTACACTAGGTTTACTGTATTTATAATTTAAAAGGAAGGGTAAGTGACTAAATGAGACATAGATAATGCATAGATAATGACTGGGTTCATTTTCCTGGAGCAAGAAAGAGTCCACGTTTTCCCCTGGGCTTCCACCCTTGCTCACTCACACTGCCCAGTTGCCCACTACAGATACGGCAAGGTGTCCATACTTTATGAGCATCTATATTATTCTCAAGACAGTGACAACCTGAAGTGTGGTACACTTTACAGATGGGAGTGAAAATTTCCTTCATCAGGCACCAGACGCTGAGCTAATAGCATGACTGTGCTGTCTGGCTCGGCTTCACCAGGATGGCCCATGAGACTGATGTCACCATCCCACCCTGCATGACCAGACTACATAATTCATCTGTGGTCACGTAACTGGCTGTGAGTAGAGGGGTACCCAGCATTCCAAGGCAAGCCACCTGACATCTCTCTGCACTCTGCAGACCCCTTCCTGGTCCCTACCTGTGCCTGGACTCTGAATATCCTTGGATGAGAACACCTGCCTATATCCACAGGGCCAGCTTTCAACAAGCAGCAGAATGGATGGGTTAACTCACAGCACTATAGAGATGAAACATGACTTTTCTTTCCTGCTTCTTGCCAATGCACTGCACTAACATTCCTTTGTTTTATTTTTTTGAGGGACAGGGATCTAACTCAGGGCTTCACACTCACTGGGCAAGTGCTCTACTGTGAGCTAAACTATGCCCTTTATTCCTTTGTTTTAGGTAAGCTTCAAGCCTGGTATTTAATAAGTATTTGGTGAATTACTGACTGAATACAACACAATCACATACTAATAAGAATAACTGAAGGCACCGGCAAAGGATTAAACACTTGAACAGGGAGAGGTGTGCTTAGAATAAGACCCTTAATAGGTAAAACCCCAAACAAGAACCCCAAAACTGTAAAGGATTCCTGTGTCATTGAATACTCAACAACACATTATAGATTTTAGTATAAAAGAGTTTCAAACATTTTCTTAATGCTGTGCATGGTGTATCCCTCTAAAAGAAGATAGCTTTCTATGAGTCAGGTTAAAATTCTGATATACTGTTGTCAGAAGTACTAAATTTGGTCTGTGTTTATATAAAATTTTCATTTGCAAACATACGTAGCAATTTTAAGAACATAGCCTAAACTCTGTTCTCAAACCTAAAGATGACCCCCATGAAAGCAGTTAATAGTAGCTCACTAAATAACTCTCTAAAGATATTTGCTCGGTTAATGTATCCCACCAGGCACCCAGCCTGGCTACCACAAAGTACTCACTGCTTTTTCAGAACTACTGAGCTTACTAATTTAGGAACTCCAGTACTATTTTTAACATGTTCTAGTAGTAATTAGCAGCTGTCAGCTCCTTGTGCTCAATTCTTTTTGAGACTGATTAGGGGTACTAGAGTCCTACAGCAGGGTAGAAAGGGAAATAAACATTATTCAGAGAAATCATAAAGATTACACCATCAGCCTGAACCTGAACTCACAAATTTAAGTAGCAGCCAGAAAACAGGAGCAGTTTTTTTTTTTTTTCCTTTTTTGTCTTCCTAGGGATTGAACCCAGGGCCTTCTGCATACAAGGCAAACATTCTACCAACTGAGCTATATCCCCAGCCCTGAAAACAGGAGCAATTTTGATTCTGCTTATCTTCCGGCTTATTGGGGGAAGGAGAACTGGCCTCATATGATCAGATTTGGCGCTTCCAACCCAAAACAGGTGTAGACTTGTCTGATTTTCCTAGGTTCATCCATCCTGTTAAGTGTACCTCATCTCAGTGCTAAGGAACCAGTGTTTTCACTTACCCAAACTCAAATGTCACAGAGCAGAAGGCCCAGTCCCCTCCCTAGAAGCCCACCATCTGCTTGGTTCTGTGGATGAGTCAAAAATAGTCAATAGTTGATTGAAAATCAATAAAAATACTGAATAATCAGCAAAGAAATGTGTGGGAGGTCAACTCCAGCAAAATTGGCACTCATGTTTCCCAGATGATTTTTAAAAAAAACATGCTTCTGAAATTTATTATCCATAGCTCGAAAATGAAAGTGACAAAGGATTTATTTAAATAAGCTACATTGCTGCTAAATGTGCCTGTTGCTCACTATATTTTGATAATAATATTCCAGGAAGGGTAGAGTTAAGAGGAGGATCCAAGGTCAAGTTGGCATCTACACAGACCCACACCACTCAGGGAGGCTTGGCCAAGGAGTCAGGACATGGGTGCAAATGATGGCTACTTCTAGGACAGGTGTGTGTAGGCAGTTTACACCTTGCCTGCCACTCATATTATGAGGAGTCTAAAAATGATCTTTTAAAAAGTGAACTTATTTTTGATGGAAACAATACAATGGTCTACCAACAAATGAATGGAAAACAAAATGTGGTCTCTCTACACAATGGACTATTATTCAGTCTTTAAAAAGAGGGAAATTCTGACACTTGCTATCATGTGTGTGGATTCAGGACATTACCCTCAGTGAAATATGCCAGTCATAGGACAACTACAGCTTGATTCACACTGCTAAGGACTGGGGAGGGGAAACAGGAAATTTGTGTTTAAGGGGGTGCAGAGTTTCAACTTGGGAAGAGGAGAAAGTTCTGGAAATGGAGAGTCATGATGGTTACACAACTAACCGAGTGAATGTAGCTAATGCCACTGACTTGTTCACTTAAAAATTGTTAAGATGGCAGATTTTCTCAATAATTAAAAAGATAACTCACCTTTGAAGTTGCCGATGTACAGGCCAGGCAAGATCTAGGAGAGAGACACAGGAAGTGAGTGTCGTAGACCCCAAGAAGACAGTGTTGTGCAGAGGTGGAGCCCTCACCTGAGCTGTGAGACCCAGTACAGCCTGGTATGTCACCTGCCACACCCACTTCCTAGAAACTCTCCTGACAGAGGGCATAGGGGACCCCCCACTCTCAGCTCCAGCCTCCAGACTGTTAGCTGTCAGCTCCTTGTGCTCAATTCTTTTTGAGGCTGATTAGGGGTACTAGAGTCCTAGTAGACCAGGACTACTAGGGTAGAAAGGGAAATAAACATTATTCAGAGAAATCATAAAGACTGCACCAACCATCTGAATATGAACTCACAAATTCAAACAGCAGTCTTTTTTCTTTCTTTTTTGTGTTCCTAGGAATTGAACCCTAGTAGCCCACAGCCAGTAGGAAACCTGCTCAAAGGACCTGGTGATGGCTGCACATGTGTGTCCATCAACTCACTAAGCTTAAGACCCAAACTGTATGCTGTCCTCCCTCAAGGGCTGAGGCATTCTGAGAGTCCCCTCCCCCAACCCTCCTGCCTACCTTTTCCTCTACTGCACTTTTCTGAAGGCCCTGACAAACCCTATACTCTGCTGCCCAAAGCCTTTGCACATGTTGTGCCTACTGCCAGGCAGCTGTGAACTCACCCTGGTGAGGCCTGTCCTGAACCCCAAGACTGGGGGTGACACTGCATCAATGCCCACAGTGCTCTGTGTCCCCCACTCAGTGATGCTGTGGCAGGGCATGCCAAGGTCCATCCCTCTGCTGCACTGGAAAGCCCCTTGAGTACCAAACATACCCTGTCACTGACTGCTGCAGCCTTGGCTCCTGGACCATGTGATTATCATTCAATAAAGAATTGATAACTGCACGAATATACTCAATATACTTAGGCTGATAAGGATACACATTTGCTCAAAATTCTTATCTTGCTAGTCCTTTGCTTGGACACTGCTCTGGAATCTAAACAATGCTGCTATGATTTGAAGGTATGTGAAGTTCACTGGTTTTGCAGATGCCCAGATACTTAAGACACACCCTCCTGTCAGCACCCACTCACTGCCAGCTCAGGCCTCTCATGGTCTCTATTTTCATCCACTCCCACTGAGAAGCCAAAAGCAGCCTGTGGTCATGTTCCTCACATGCGCTGACTTCATCAGGCATCTTCCTGACTATTGGCTGCCTTGCTACAAACCCATGACATGGATCAAATCACTGCAGGGGGTCTCCTGTGGTACCTGGCAGATCCACAGGGTTAGCTTCTGTGTAGACTGAGGGGTCAGAGGGCCAACCAGCCAAACTGAAACACTTTGGGGAATGAAAAGAGACACTGTGATTACTGTGGGACAAAAGGCAGAACCCAGAAGAGACCTGGGCAGGCGGCAGAAGGATTGCTCTGGATGACTCAATACCCAGGGACACAAAATTAGCCTGAAGAGTGTCCCATGGATCCTCAAGGTCAGTCATGTGCCTGATGGAGGTCACAGCAGGAGGCAGGCCAGGTTAGCTCTGTAGCTAAGAACTATGAAACAATAGAAGACACCAGTTCCATTGCTAAGGAGCTCAACATTTGACAGGTTTTTCTTGAAACACAGTCTTTAGGATTCTCCTGGGAGGAAGGGTGGGGTAGGTTTTTCATCATGCCTGCTTTAAAACATAAGAACAATGCAAGTTCATCTTGGAGACTGACCAAGCTGATGTTCTCTGGCAGCTCTTGGAGGCTGAGAGCTCTTCCATGTGTGAACTCTGATTCCCCGGGGCCTCTCCTATCTTTATTAGGATGTGATATTAGATATTAAAGGCCATCACATGGCTCTTTTGGCTAATGGTGAGAAGAACTCCCTCTGACCAAACTTTAGTCAGGCTCCTTTGAGCCCTTTTCTCCACTAGACCTTGTCCTTGGCCCATGGAGTCCGGGGGGGGGGGGGCAAAAAATTCTGAAAATAAGCCAGTCTAAGGAGAATCCCCTGACCCATGACCTTCACCAAGCTCCTTTTCCTCCGTTCTTAATATCTAATCAGGTTTCTTTTAGAAATTTTCCATCCACTTCCTTGCCCTGCTCCTCAGATTTAAATTCCCACTTGTCCTATATTATTGGGAGTTGAGTTCAGTCTCTCCTCTTGTTGCAATAGTCCTGAATAAAGTCCTCCCTGCCATTTTTAATAAGGGTCAGAATAATTTTTCTTTCTAGATGTGATTGCAAATGGCTCCATCTTCATGCAATTGACAGTTATAAGCATGTTTGCAGGCCCGATGTCACAAAATGCTATCACAATAGCCAGAGGGTCAAGTGTTTTATTAGTTCCTGTTATGACACTGGGATACAAGTCTGACTAAAAGATACACAGTCCTGTCCTCAAGGAGCTTATCACACTGGAAAGGTAGAGGTGACCTGATCATTTGGGGGTCACAGAAGACTTTCAGGAGGCATAACATTCAGGGGATCTGCTTTCCAAGAGAAACAGGCCAGGAGAGAAGGAGGGTCTGGTAGGGGAGCAGTGGAATAGCCTGAAGGAGGAAGTCTATTCTCTATGGGAGGAAATGGCTGGATAGCAGGGAGGGCTGGTCCTGTGCTGTTGACACTGTGGTGATTGGACATTTTCAGGGTTGTAGCTTAAGTGCTATGAAATGAAACACCACTAAGATGTTTAAAATGCATGGAACTGTTAGAAGATCTTAAGTGTTTTTACTTAATATATCTTGGAAATGTCATGCAAAAAAATGAAAGGTAAAATCATGTGTATAGTACATGCTTTTACTAACATGCTCACCTCTATGCAGGGGATCCTGGGGGTCAGAAGTCTGGGAAGGCAATTTTTGCATTTTTGTTTAAAATTTCCCATAAGGTTTAGATGCTCTAATCATGTGCATGCCTTACTTCAGTTCACCCTTTGTTTTTTAGGTAGGCAAGAGGGATTTCTGGGGAAAAGATAATGGCACACTTTTGCTTTCCTTTTTTTTTTTTTTACTCCCACTACCTTCTCTACTAAACATAACTAATATATTTTATATTATTTTTAAAAATAAAGAAGCAATGAGATTAGATTGTCTCTGCACTCTAATGTTCTAGAGCCAACACTTTATAACTCCTAAATCCAACTATGGGAACTCAGCTCTAGTCCTCATCTTCAACTTCTGCTGGACTCTCCCAAACAGCTTATTATTTTCCCATTACCATTATCAATTTCTCCTGTCCCTTGATTGTACCACCTTCTTCCAGTCATCTTGAATGGAAAGCCTCCCCAACCATCATGGACCCTCTGTCTTGCTTCTCCATTTGCTTCCAGTAGGTGAAGAAGATACTCACTTCCCTCTCTTCTGAGCCCAAATCCAGAACTCTATTTATACATGGGCTACAGCAGTGGCCACTGAACTCATTCTCTGTCACACAGAATTAATTTTTGAAAGTCAAATTCTTACTGGGTTTTTTTCCAGGTGAAAATGTTCAGTAACAACCCCTCTGCTAAGAAAACAATGGGCAAACATTTCAAATAAAAATTCAACATGGTTTTCATAGTATGTTATAGTCACTTCAAAACACCTGGGATAAACCACCTAAAAGGAGGGAAGATTTATTTTGGCTCATGGTTTCAGAGGTTTCAGTCCATGGTCACTTGGCTCCATTGCTTTGAGCCTGTGATGGCACAGTCTCATGGTGGGAAGCAACTGGTAGAGGAGGACTGTTTATATCATGGCAGCATGGAGGGAAATGGGTTACGATCCCAAGATTCCCTTCCAAGACACACCTGACTTCCCTCCACTAGAGCCATCCTTCTAAAGGTTCCACCCCGCCCCAACAGCTCCACACATGGCAACCATGCCTAGCATGTAGGCATTTAAGATCTGAGCCATAAAACACAGGGTGGTTCCAAACCACCTCTGAAACTCCCCTTCTTTGCAATCTACAACCAAGCCAGGTAATCCTCATTTTCCCAAAACCCTTGTCCTATCTTGCTCTATCATCTTTTTTTTTTTCTCTCAGTATTTTCCCTAAACAGAGAAGAGGTCCTTTGTGTTTAGGGTCCCTCATCCCTTGAGTATGCTCAAAAAATCACAAAGCCTATAAAGTACATTTACTTTCTTTTATTGGTTTCTCAGGCTCTGAAGCCCTTTCCTGTTTGGTGAACCCTCCTCCCCACATTCCCACAGCAAGCTTGGTGGGAAGCAAAGCCTCTTACTACAGAGGCTGCAAGTACCAGACACCTGCTCATATGAGACTTTGCAGCTCTGGCATGGACACAAGACCCGAGTGCGAACCATAAAAGGCCTGTTGCAAACCATAAATCTGGGGACAACTTGAGCATCTTCTTTGGCAGCAAAAGGTATGTGCTGTTGGCACACTCAGCACCTTGTGGCTACAGCATGGGCATTTTGGGCAGCCCCCAAAATGCTCTCATCTAACCACTTACAGGATCTTTCGAGGAAGGGCAGCCCCTATGTCTGCTTTTCCTGACTTCTTGGCCATCTGCCCTGTTCTACCTAAGGCAGCTGCATCTGGAACCTGTTGCATATAACCAGGTCCTTGATGTGGACTTTTAATCCAGAAAAATGGCACAAATGCAGAAAGGCAAGCCAAAACCTTGAGGCAAATCACAGGCACAGCACAGTCATTCCCGTCCTACCTTGGCTAACAAATGTACAACTGCCCTGCAAGGAATAACTCAAATGGCACTCGAGGATGCTGAATATCACAAGGATAGGAGATTCCACCCTCCTCCGGACTTCACTCAAGTCTTGTTTAGCATTTACTTCTTCTTCTTTTTTTTTTTTATTTCTCCTATCTCTGGTTGTATACAAAGTATATTTATACCAACTTGTGTCTTCATACATGTACTTTGGATAATGATGTCTATCACATTCCACCATCCTTGCTAACCCCAGCCCCCTCCCTTCCCCTCCCACCCCTCTGCCCTATCTACAGTTCATCTATTCCTCCCACGTTCCCCTTCCCTACCCCACTATGAATCAGCCTCCTTATATCAAAGAAAACATTTGGCATTTGGTTTTTTGAGATGGGCTAACTTCACTTAGCATCATCTTCTCTAACTCCATCCATTTACTGCAAATGCCATGATTTTATTCACTTTTATTGCTGAGTAATATTCCATTGTGTATATGTGTCACATTTTTTGAATCCATTCATTTATTGAATGGCATCTAGGTTGGTTCCACAGTTTAGATATTGTGAATTGTGCTGATATAAACATTGATGTGGCTATGTCCCTGTGTTATGCTGTTTTTAAGTCCTTTGGATATAGACCGAGGAGAGGGATAGCTGGGTCAAATGGTGGTTCATTTCCAGATTCCCAAGGAATCTCCATACTGCTTTCCATATTGGCTGCACCAATTTGCAGTCCCACCAGCCGTGTATGAGTGTACCTTTCCTCCTACATCCTCGCCAACACTTATTGTTTAATTAGTCTTCATAATAGCTGCTGTTCTGACTGGAGTGAGATAAAATCTTAGAGTAGTTTTGATTTGCATTTCTCTAATTGCTAGCGATGATGAACATTTACTATAGACCAATGGTACAGAATAGAGGATACAGAGACTAACCCACAAAATTACAATTATCTTATATTAGACAAAGGCGCCAAAAACATGCATTGGAGAAAAGATAGCCTCTTCAACAAATGGTGATGGGAAAACTGTATACCATATGCAACAAAATGAAATTAAACCCCTATCTCTCACCATGCACACAACTCAACTCAAAGAGGATCAAGGACCTAGGAATACAACCAGAGACCCTGCGTCTAATAGAAGAAAAAGTAGGCCCTCATCTCCATCATGTGGGATTAGGCCCCAACTTCCTTAATAAGACTCCTGTGGCGCAAGAATTAAAATCAAGAATCAATAAATGGGATGGACTTAAACTAAAAAGTTTCTTCTAAGCAAAATAAACAGTCTGTGAGGTGCATACAGAGCCTACATCTTGGAAGCAAATCTTTACCCTTTACACATCAGATAGAGCACTAATCTCTAGGATATATAAAGAACTTAAAAAGCTAAGCACCAAAAAAACAAAAAAAACCAAACAACAACAACAACAAAAAACCCACAAATAACCTAATCAATAAATGAGCCAAGGACCTGAACAGACACTTCTCAGAAGATGATATACAATCAATCAACAAATATATGAAAAAATGTTCATCATTGCTAGCACTTACTTCTTTTCCTCAACAAATTATTTGTTGCTCTTTTAATGGAGCACCTTTGCTCAACTTCTCAACAATGCCCCTCTGAATTACTCTAACAACCTCCCTAGTGATCTGCTTACTACTGGACCTGTCCTTCCAGAGGATTTCTCAAATAATCTCCTTGGTACAAAGCTGGTTGTGTGACTTCAGCTTAAATCCTCTTATGGCCTTGGGTAGCTTTCAGTATGACATATAAATTCTACACTTTGGCAGCACTGAGACCTTTCAGGATTAAGCACAAATATGTCTTTAGCCTCAGGCCCAACTCTAGTGCCTTCTCCAATCTCACCCATATCTGAAGAGGTGACCATGGTACAATAGCTAATGTGGCCACAGAGAGACACAGGTTGGGGACTCCAATTACTGGTATCCAGTTTTATGGGAAACAGCCCAATTTATGAAAAATAAAAAAATTTTAAAAATAACTTAGTGTGTTGAACAAAAATAAATCCACATCTGTGAGCTGGCTATGGCCCATGATCATCTAGCCTACGATCGGCTGCAGGCATCATACATGTAAACAGAGTACTCATTCAGTTATCACTGAAGGACTGGTTCCAGGATATCCCAAGAATGACAAAACTGGGTCCCTTATATGAAATGGCATAGTATTTGCATATAACCTTTGCATATTCTTCTATATACTTTATATCATCTCTATAGATTACTTAAAATACCTAACACAATGTAAATGCTATGTAAGTAGTTGTTATGCTGTATTGTTTAGGAAATAGTGCTAAGAAAGAAAGAAAAAAAAAAAAACAAAAAAACTCTGCACATGTATAGTATAAAAGAAACCTTCACAGGCCTAACCACATAGTACAAGAATGAGAGATGAGGAGTACAAAGCTCAAATGAAAGTGTGTAACACAGCAACAGGCTACAGCACCCCATGCTTAAGCATTGTTTCACCTGTAAGAATTCAGTGTGTACTCATCATACTGTAAATTCAAGTTTTGCTTTTTTGGAACTTTCTGGAATTTGTTTTTCAAATTTTTTCAATCTGTGGTTAGTTCAATATGTGGATATAGAACCCACAGGAAATGAGGGTTGACTGTATTTTTTTAAAAATGTGATTGGTTCTCTGCTGGATAGGTACTCAAATAAATGCTTCTTTAATGAACAACAAAAAAAAATATCAAGAGGGTAGGATGAGATGAAGCGAGGAAAAGAAGGAACATAAAACATGATGACTGATAAAGCCTGATGTGAGCTTAGTCAGAGAGAACAAATGTTGTCTGTCTCTGCCTTGGTTGGGTTTCTAGGTAGGAAACAGTGACCAGCAACATCAGTAGCACTGGGGATGGTATGGGAATAAGCAGGGACCCAAAGGAGTGCTGAAGCAGAGTATCAGCAGACAGAAAGTCTGGAAAGAAGAAGCAACTAACTAAAAATAATCTAAAATTGGTGTTTTACATGCATTTAAAATAATTTCAAGTAATACAAAGAGAGAACAGAGTTGAGTCAGTCAACTTTTAATTCTTTTTTTTTTTTTTTCAGATCACAAGAGCGACCTAGAATTTCAAGGGCTAAAAAGAGAAAGTGAATTGTTCATCCCTCTGTATGCAGCCAGATTTTGGTTCTCCTCCATACAGAATTACAAAACAAGATCAGGGAAGGCTGGCTGCCAGCAAACTAAATAAAAAGTCCGTCAACAGTTAAACTTCTACATCAGTCGGTTTCATAATTTAAGCTTGAAACTCAAAAAAATCTGAGCCTTCCCTTTCCTGATGTTATTATTGCTGGTAATCTGAGTATAGAGAGTAAGAAAATGAAATAAATGAAAGAATTTTTGATCAGAAGGATGGCTTATAGAGGTGACTGGGAAGGAATGGAATGCTCATTTGGGACAATAATACTAACCCATCAATGCACAGAGAATCTGAATGCAAGCTGGAAGTGAGAAAAAACAGAGCAAGAGTGAAATCATTATTCTTCCAAATGCCTCCAAAAGGTCACCACCTCTCAGCAACATTATAGTGGGGACCATGACTTAACATGACTTTTGGTAAGGACAAATCATATTTAAACCATTGCAGGGTACATGTCTTATTCTCTGATGGGTCTCCCAAAACTTGCCCTAGCATATGTCACACTAAGAAGTGAATTAACACACCAGAGAGGAACAGGCTGTCTTGCATTCTACTGGTTCAAAAAGATTCCTGTTTTCGGTTGCAAGGCTATTTGGGCACAGGTAATGAAAGAAAGATCCTCCTGTGGAAACACTGTGAGATCACAGTGAAGACTCCCAGTGGTGGTGGAAGGCTAATCTTGATCAAGAACCTTCTCACCCACACATTACACTGCATGAACATGGGTCATACAGAAACACAAAAATCCAAATCCTGAGCCACAAAAAAATACTTACGTCCAAAAGAATACTGCTTCTAAGGCAGGAAATATTTTGAGTTTATTTTTAAACATTTCTCTTAGTTTTCCAGGATGCTATGGAATTTAAGAACACCACCCAAACAGATGTAAGAGATAAATTCCTGGTCAAACAGCCAGCAAAAGGATATGAGAGCAGGTTGGGAGTGGAATCTTAATTCTTCCTAGGTCAGAAAGGACTTTCTGGGTTTCAAAGCCAAGGATGATGGGGGAAAACTTTGGTGGATTCCCTGAAGGGTTAAAATGTCACAGAGACTTTCTTAATGCCATTTGGCATGGGTCTAACCAGTATGCTTTTATAAGGGAAAGAATCCGAGAATACCCTTGTGTGCCCTTACAGCATTGCTTCAAATATCAGTTCTGTCATTGTGAAATAAAAATATAACATTAAAAGGGGAAAAGAGAAAGCATTCAGCGGGTGGTGTAGAGGAGAGAGGACAGAGATCACCATTGTGGAGTCTTTGGTCCATCAGTTCTGAGCTGTGGCTGTGTGTTCAGCTCCTATAAAGGGGCTCCTCTGTAAGCTGCCTAGAACTCGAGCAATAGAGTCTTAACGTCTTTCATATTTATTTTCCACTACAGGATCTTGCATGTACCTTGACAATAGCAGGTATTCACAATTTGATGAATAGATGAATGGACAGATGAATGAATTATGAAGGCAGCCAAGTCACTTGCTTCCAGATGGAAACAGCAGCACTAAGTTACACAGAGACACTAGACATTCTATCCGCCGCCCCACCTCCCTACAAAAACAATGCTCCTCAAACTTTAAAGCTCTAGTCTACCTATTAATGATCATCCAGTTCTAGATCACACAGACCTCTGGAGATTCTGAGACAGAGAACACTAGAGTACTGGTTCTCGACTTTGGACAAGTTTGTACCCAAGGGATATCTGTCAATGTCTGGAGACATTTTTTTGTTGTGGGGGGAGGATGTGACTGTCATCTATCAGGACATAGTCTGGGATGCTGCTAGGCTTCCTATAATGTACAGGATATTCCCCACAACAAATAATTATGCAGCCCAAAATGTCAACAGTGCAGTTGTTGAGGAATCCTTCTCTATGCCATTCCCTTTGAATTATGATCCTTTCTTAACTATACTCCCTTTCTAAAGTGGAAAGAGCCATTCTAAAACAGGTGTTCATCATATCCAAGGCCTGATGCCACCACCGTGACCATTGATAGGAAAAATCCAAGAAATAATAGGGCATATTTTTCACTTTACAATTTGTAAAAATGCCATCTAATAAATTTTCATTTGCTTCTCTCAAGAACCTACATAGAAATTAGGAAAGGTAACATTACATTCCTTTTAGAGCAAATAAGGAGTCTGGATTAAGCTAACCACAAAGGTCTTTCAGGTGTAAACATCTATGAATTCAGGAGGGAAAAGAAAATGAAGCTCAGAAATGTTAAGTGACTTGTTCAAGATCACATGAATCAGCAGAGTGGCAGAGATATCTCAGATCAGACTTTCTGATAGCTCTGCCCTTCTAAGTGAGCTTTCAAGGAAAACTTATGCACTAATTGCAAACTGGCCTCCCATCACCAAAAGCAAGCTTTCCATGAAATACCAGGACAAAAGGGGAAAAAAAGAACAGAAGAAAGATCAGTGGATAGACAAAGGGGATGGAGGAAAGGGAGGAGGAATGAGGGATGGGATAGGGAAAGACAGTGAAATGAATCTGACGTAACTTTCCTATGTACATGTACGAATACACCACAGTGAATCTCACCATCATGTATGTCCACAAGATACTAATTTAAAAAAAGAGTTTAACAGCAGAAAGATCAGTAGAATAGAGAAAAGGAACAGGCGGTGGGAAGAAGGGAGGTAAAGCACAGGGGAGTGAATTAGAACAAAGTATATCCCATACCTTTATTTTATTTGTTAGTTTGTCGATGGACCTTTATTTTATTTATTTGTATGCGGTGCTGAGAAACAAACTCAGTGTCTCACACATGCTAGGCAAGTGCTCTACCAATGAGCAACAACCCCAGTCCCCATGCTTTTATGTCAAAATTAATCCTATTGTCAACGTGTAACTAAAAAGAGCCAATAAAAAAAAAAAAACCAAAACACCAGGACAACTTCCATTCCCACCAGGTAGGAAATTTTCAGAGAACACAACACAGGGGGGAAGGAAGAAGCCACCAGACCAGGCAGCTCAATGTGTGATGAGCTGAACTAACCCTGGCAGTCAGTGGAGGACAAGCTATAGAGCCACAGGATTCTCACATTCTGCCCTAGGAAAAGGCTTCCACCCACTTTTATTCATTATTAAGGCTGATTGAGACAAAGGTATGCACATAAGAAGCATCAGGCTTCTCTGATGTAATGCTCATCTACAGAGGCCAGTTTTTAGCTTTGCTTTGTTTTTAATTGTGTATTGTAGTACTTAAAGACTAATGAAATGACAGTGAGGATAGTTTAGTGTGTGGGACCTCCTCCAAAAGATATGGGGGGTTCAGACTCTTTGAGATAACTTTGAGTCAACTAAGAGTTTTCAAAGTCTCTATAGGAACATGACATTTGCAGGCCATAGCCTATGTAATTTAACGCTAGTCTTACCAGAGACTTTCACACCCTTTTATCAAAATCAGACATGAAGGAAGAGAGGAGGAGACTTGTTTTGTAATTAATTTGAAACTATGGGGATGTTTTCAGTTTTTTTTTTTTTTTTTAAGGGACTTTAGAAATTGCTTGGGATGAACTGCTGCTGTAGCTCAAAGGAAAAGGAAAGACTTGTACTGTCTTTGAAAATCAGTGGAAACTGGGGACCAAACCCGGTTCTACCACTATTTTGCATTAGGTCTTAGTCATTCTACCTTAGTCATTCTATTCTTAGTCTCTATTTCCCAATCTGTACAAACAGGATAAGATGACCTGACCTCATAGGTTCCTGTGAGGCTTAGATTTTATACAGTACAGGCACAGGACATGAGATTCAAAACATAATATACCAAACTGCTATGTCGCCTATCTTTATTTCCTTGTTATCTTTAATTGGCCAGAATATAGAAGCCCATTCCCCTCACATCCTCTGAATAGTCCACAGGAAGCTGGGACACACTGATGGAAATCCACCACGGGGTCATGAAACATACAATAAGAACTGCTATCTGCAGGGCAGCCAGTCAAATCTGCGTTGTTTAATTAATAAACCGTTTTTAGCCAAGGAAGAGCAATTTGTGTGAGATAAGAAAGAAATTTTGTCCCAGCATACCCACAAACTCCAAGTTATGCTTTTAGTTCTTTTATTTACAAACGTTCTTTAAAAAGCATTTCTATGGTTAGCACCTTCCATTGATTCTAAAAATCAATCATTCTTTTGTTTTTTACAGTTGGGGAAAACAGGAAGTCTCATTACAAGTTACAAAGTGATAGGTGGAAAAGTTCTAGTTAAGTCTTAATTGTCGCCTTCCAACAATTTACTTTGCCACTGACTAACCTTGTAATATTGGATAATTCTTTCTGATATCAAGTTAAGTATGTTTACCTGGGAGATCCTTTCTTGGACTGAAAGCCCCATTTAGGTTTCTATAAAAAAGATCTACTTTCCCCACTCTCCTGAAATTATCTATCTTGGAACTGACAGTTCCCTTACCTTTTATGTGTTCTTTCTCTTTCTATGACACACACATACATACACCTAGCAACCTGTGTTGTACAAAAGAGTAGCCACTGAGAACTTAAAATGTGGCTAGTCTCCAATGAGATATTTCAGTACAATATACATAGCAGATGTTAAAAGACTTTGTAGGAAAAAAATGTAAAATATTCCATGTATAATTTTATATATTGGTCACATGTTAAAATGACACTATTTTAATATATTCAATTACATAAAATATATTAGTAAAATTAATTTCATGTTTCTTTTTTTTAATGTGACTATTAGAAAATTTTAAATCAAATAGCTCATGTTATATTTCTATTGGACAAGTACTGGTCTATGTTAAAGATTCTAGGAAGGACCTTTGTCTCTGTCACTTGCACGGGGACTCCTTTCCCAACTAGCACAATACCTGTTGCCTATTAAGTACACAATCAATATGTGTTAATTAATAAAGTCTCTAAACCTCTCTCTACATATGTTTCTTCATTCTATATTGGAAATGGTGTTTTGTTTATAATACAAAATAATTATAATAGAGAAGAAATTACTCCCTTTGAAAGGTAAAAAAAAAAAATGAATATTGCTGAAAGGTATGGAATTAATTTTGATCCCTTGGGCAATCACTGTATTTCTAAATAAGTCTTTGAATTATAAGATAAAATACTACAAATTAAATACAGAAAGATGTTGATAGGGAACAACCTTAGTGGGAAAAACTCTAGAAACAAACTTATGGAAAGCCGAGGTAGCCCCACAATC